TTGCGTCTGTTGGTCAAGTAAGTAACCTTTTTTGAGTTTTTCGTCACAAACCAGTGCTCTGTGATTGACAGATTTCTTCCTGTATTAAAAGAATGCACTGGCCGAGTTGATAATTTGTCTGCGGAGTACTGCAGTGGTTAATTTACACTTTATACATTGCAATGTCTAGGATGAACTTATTGATATTGTGTTGTAAAGGAATTGGTCTTAAAGCAATATAATATGCACAGGTTCAACAGTGTATATGCGCACTTTCTGAGCTTGTGCGAGATGTTACCACACTAATTTTGTTGTATATAGTATAGACCATAAGTATAGCCCCAAGACTAACCTTTTCAAAAACCCAATAAGCAGCATCACTCAAATCAACAAAATTCAAGACCTTATCTTAAACGTTACACCTAATGGCATTGACTGCCTCGCACAACTTTGAGCATGCCATAGGATTGGTGATAAGTTCATTGTTAGCCTAACATCAAATTACAGGATGACAATTGCATTGAAAGTTCATGACTTTGGCCATAACAACTTAACAACCAATGAAATTGCTGGTAGCTTTCAAGAAAATGGTGGAGAAAACTTTCATTATTCACTTTACACTGATCAATCTGGTTAGCAAAAGATAAACATAACAAGTGTTGACATTAATGGACTTTTAGTGTGGATATGTTGTTCTATGCATGAAGTGCTCATGGAATTTGACCATAAATTCTCTCTTCACTGTGCAGACCTATCTGCGAATGACTTGGCGTTAATGGCCAAGTAGACGGAAAGGTTAGCGTAGTTCATGGTCATTATAACAATAGTCAAAAATATGTACAGGTTACTAAACAAAATTGAAGAAGATAATTGATATTGTTTTTGACATTTTCCTTGTAACTACAAAATTATTGTTCTTGCAAACTATTCTTTAAATTTTCCGTTACACATACTTAAAAAAAAAAGAAGCAGATCCTGCAGAAACATGGGACCTTTTTTGAGAGTCCATTTTAGTTGACTAGAACGTTGCCTTGCTGAAAAAAATCTTTTAGGTAACATCTTTGTTTTTCAGCTTTACAGATTTTTGGCAAGACGAACCAGTGCTGGCTTTAATAAAGTAGTTTTAAGACGCTTATTCATGAGTCGCATGCACAGACCACCAATTGCTTTATCAAGATTGGTAAGTAAACCTGGATACAATCATGTAAGAGATACTTATATTTTCCTGGCAATACCTGCTAATGCAGATCTTCAAATCAAATCTGGATATGAGTGTCTAGTTAATTCGGTTTTGTACTCTTCAGAATGTGCAATTCAGAGCTCACAGAAAAGTTATATCAAAATTTCTCTCATGGATGTTAATGCCAATATAAGCTTTCATCCATTCTTAATTGTCATGTATGATTACAGGTGAAATATGCTACTAAGCCAGGCCGTGAAGGAAGAATAGCTGTAGTTGTTGGTACAATAACTGATGATGTTAGATTAATGTCTTGTCCTAAATTAACAGTAAGTTTATTCTAGTATATCTTTATTTTGTAGATAGTAGATATAAGTTTTTCAATTGATATTTAGGCATATTCAATGCCAGTTTGAACATTGTGAACTTAATTTATGAACTTAATTTAAACTTAAATTCTAGTTTTTGTGATTACATGATACATCAAGAAATTATTATACAGCAACCAGATGGATGTCACAATAGGTGCTAAACCTGTTTTACTTTGTCCCTCCCTGATTCAAATCAGATAAATGACAGATTACAATAAATTCCTTATATTCAATAAACTCAAAACTCAATTATTTAATCCACTAGGTCTGTGCATTAAGAGTAACCGAAAGAGCCAGAGCTAGGATATTGAAAGCAGGTGGTGAAATTTTAACATTTGATCAACTTGCTCTCAGAGCACCAAAAGGACAGAATACAGTTTTAGTCCAAGGTAAGTTCAACTGGTAAAAAAAAAAAAGTCCTGTCTACAATAAGCTAAGAATTGAATTTTTTCTCTCATTTCACAAATATTCTAAAATTTCCAACTGCACCACTATAAAACTTAAACTTTCAAGAAAGTCCATGTGTAAATGACACACTTTTGGACTGAAAATACTCATCTTTTCCAGAGGTTAATCAAAGGCAAGAATTTCAATAGAATTTTGTAGCCTATATTTCAATTCATATGAAAAGGATTGGCAAAATTCTACAAACATTGTAGATAGTTTATCTCACTGTTCAGAGGTTTGTTGCTAACACCGTGTTGGCTGGTCTTTTCTATAGAACGTCATTAATGCAAAAAGCCAGTTCACAGATTTTGAATTAGTTTGCGAATTTGTCAAGCAGTTTAAAGATTCTAATCTAAATTCGAAGAAACTAAAACCAAATCGCGAATTAATACCAACTCTCAAATTTACGCCTTTTCGTGGAAGTTATGCCGACACCTTACACCAGGTAGCGTGCAATGTGTAAAGTTTATTGATCTATAAATAGAATATTGAAAAATTTTTGAACTTATTAATGGAATTGTTGATATTATTCTATTTATAGCTCTATGAACTTTGACACATTGCGCTCAACCTGGTGGAAGATGCCGCCATAACCCCCATGAAATGGCGTAAATTCTCGAGTTGGTATTAATTCGTGCCACAAGGTGTATGTTGCCGGCATAACCAGATTTTCCACGAAACGGCGAAAAATTTGCAAGTTGGTTTAATTCGTGCCACAAGGTGTTAGTTGCCGGCATAACCATATTTTCCACGAAACGGTGTTAATTTGCGAGTTGGTATTAATTCGCGCCATTTAAGTGGATGCATTTGGACATAAACCATTATCTTAAGATATTGGGTGCTTTTGAAATTTGGTACATTTTATTTTTTTGCAGATTTTCATGAAACTTGGCTAGCTTCTTATTTCATTTACCACATAGTGAAAAATATTAGCACATTTGATGTAGTCTATTATCTTATAGGCTTGTTTAGATAAGATATATGAAAAATAAGTTATTTCATTAAAAAGTCTTCATCTTAATTTTTATTTTCAGGTATCAGACAAGCCCGGGGTGCCAACAGACATTTTGGTCTTGCTCCTGGTGTACCTGGCAGTAACACAAAGCCTTTAGTGAGAGCTAAGGGAAGAAAATTCGAGAAAGCCCGTGGTAAACGAAACAGCCGCGGTTACAAAAAATAAATTCTGTAAAGAAAAAATAAAATATTCAAAAGGAAAACTGTTTTATTTTATCGAACTAAAGTTGAAAAATGTTGATAGCTGAGACTTTTTTCAGCCATGGTGGCAACGGTAGGTGATTTTGATGGTGAAACTGAAAGAAGGGGATGAAATCTGTTCAATAAGCAGGGTGCATTATCTAGAAACATTAATGAAGCTTGAGATTAATTACATAGTGAAGATTTTCTGGAGAAACTGAATGTCTGGAGAAATCATGGTGCTTGTCTTACACTTCGTATCTGTTCAATATATGATTTTTATTTATAACCTATTTTCCCCCAATAGTGTCATAACCGACCTCATAAGTTTCTGGGGGAGAACCTTCTCCAACTAGCCATGGCAGGCTTTGGCCTATTTGATTCCGAATCTTTATCCGGACAGTTCTAATCCAATTCTTCCGCAACAATTTGTAACCTCAGTTAAGGAGGTAAAGTCCAGGATGGAAACACAAATGGTAACTGAATAAAATTAGAAAATTTAAATTTTATTAAACTGCAAAAAAAATATTATTAATAATATATGCCTTTAGGAAATTCTGGAATGTTCAGCTGTGGGAAAAGAAAGGTTGAATATCTTAATTCAATGCTACAAAAGTATTGAACCCCAATCCTGTACTCTAATAAAAAAAAAAACAAAACAGATTTTATTTATCACATTACTGTTTAGAAAACCATATTTCCCTTACTATCTATACCCTGTTTCTATAGAAAGGGAATTGGGACAACCCATTTTGAGGTCTGCTTATTTGCACATCCTGCAAAATGCAAATCATACAAGTACGATCTATGTTCTTTACTGTCAATTTTAAGTAAGTAATCTACTTGAAAGGATGTTGTGCTGTTTCGATCACGTTGATTCATGATTAGATCTGCATAATTTGCATTGTTATTTAGGGATATAAGTTGCCAACAACATATATTTCTAATACCCTTGCTAGAAGCAACAGTCAGAACTTTTCTGCATCTTCATGATATACAGCTATACTGTCAGGCTGAGAATTGATATTCAAACATTCAATTGTTTATGTAGAGGATTTTTGATATATGGCTCTTTTCCAATTAGAAAATATGCAATATTCAGCCATTTTTCATTGACTGTTAATAATTGGTTATATCCTTTTGTTCTAAAATAGTTTGTGAAATCATTGGCTATCACATCAAATTGATTTTTGATCAGGTTAATGCCCCAAATAAGAGAGACAGTGTTCATTATTATCAAACTGAGCATCCAAACTTCTTGATATAAAACTCTCATCATAGAGTAATATGAATAACAATGTAAAGCGGCGATTATCACAAATATTGTCATACACACTAAACAAGTTAGAATAAACCACACAAAGTAAAACTGGTTATCTCGAGCAACACACCGATTTAAAAACAAACAATGATGGTCCATATCCTGATAACACTTATTGCATAGTTTACAATGTTTGGCATATTTTGGTCGCACAATCTGAAACAAGAAAAGAACATGATTATAAGCTTGAAACATATATCATAACTACTAAGCATTGATTATTCAGGTCAGGGGCGCTGATCCTTTATGCGAACAGGGGGGGACACATCTTTTTGGGTTACTGGTCGAAGGGGCAGGCCCGTAGCCAGTCAAGTCCTTTTGGGGGGTCAAACTTCCAATCAAAGGGGGAAGTTCAGGTAGTAGTAGAAACACAATTTCCAATTTCCTGGCGAATTTAAGTTTATTTGTATCGCCACTCAATTAAACAAACCTGAAATCAAATAACCTTAGAATTACATTTTCTTGTTTTTTTTTTTAAACATTTATTCTTCTAACATGAAAAATAACAAAATTGAATGAATTTATATAATACCTCGCAATCAGCACAAAAGTCTTGCATTTTCCGGACAGGTGAACACAAATCTTGAACAGTTACCTCTCTTTTTAAAACTTCATCATAATAACTAAGCTTCAAAATTCCTGAAATTTTTTAAATGAAACAGTAAGTTTAAAGGAAGTAAAAACTGTCATAAGTGTTAATCTTTGATGGCCATGTACATCACAATACTACCTCTTAGGATGACCACAAAATTGAAGATCTAAAACTTAGCAAAAATGAGGACATGTCTGGCGTCACAACCATACGAAAGAATCCCTAAAAATCAATACAACTATGTAGTAATCAAATTAACTAAGTAATTATTGAAAAACGCTTCTAAGTGTGTTCACTTTTTAAATGTACTTGATTTAATGGATATATAGTGTAGAATTTGATAATAAATATATCACCTGGATCTTGTGTCAAAACTTTCCAATATAAGTAGAGCAACAACATAGTAAGAATTGGTGTTAAACATAACATAAATGGTTTTTCACTGATATCTGATGTTTTTGTTAGGGAAAGCAAAATATAGATTATAAAACATACACATAAATGATAACTTGTTAGCAAAACTCAGTATCAATACGCTTATTGGAGTTGAACAAGGTTCTTAACTTCTTTCATGACAAAATATACAAAAAAAAATTTAAAAAGATACATTGCATTAATTTATAGTATAAACAGACCATAGTATGAAATTGTCCTGCACCAAATATACCAATGTAGATTGGATTCGGCCATCTGTAAGAAATATTTACTTATTTCATGTTTGCCATATCAAAAGTCGTATTTTCAAAACATTGCAATTGAACATAATAAGTATTTCTTATATTCCAAATATAGCATAATTATATAGCAACAATTTATATTTATACATTAAATTCATAAAATAGAATTCTAGTGGTTAGTAAATGAAACATATTTAAATTGAATTACACCCACATGTAGAATGGTTGTGTTTTATTCTCACACTATCTATCAAAGAAGGTTATCAAGCTCCACTAGCTGTAAGAATGGAGAATTGGTGGTTGCATTCCATTAAAAACTGCGAACAGTTTTAGTCTCTCAAACATTACAAACCTGCTGACATGTCGCATTCTGTGTAACTGTTTTTTCTGTGTAATCAAAATAACAGCTAATCCAAGAAGAATTGTAACAGCATGTAACTTTTCATTAACATAATGTGACAGAACCACTGCAGCACCATATATAATAGTTGGCATTAATAATAACCAATACCAATATAATATAGGCCCAGTGGGTTTAATATGACCACCCTGTTTACTGTAATACTGATATACTGGAGTTATTTCTCGATGTCTGGAAAAAAATGTATCTTTAATCAGTCCTTATTGCTCTTATCTTGTCTTTAAGGTACCATAGTGCACTATATAACTAACGAAGCTGAGAGCATGAACTATTAATTTATTCATATGATATTAATTCTTCTATCGGGCTAACCAAGATAGGCAGTATTTAGCAACAACCTTCAGAAATATAAGTTATAACATAATACATTTTCTTTTACTTACCCCATTTTATCTCTTTGTTCAGCAAGATCTTTAGGTGTATACCCTGCATTATTTAGAACTTTTAAAGATGAAGTTCCTAATTCTGTGAATATTACCCAACACAGATGACTATGACCCTCTCGAGATAATATATGTAGTGGAGTATCACCATCCATATTGACTACAGTTAAATCACACCTCTACAAAAATATAAATGTAATCGTTACAGTCATGTCAATCTTGATTAAATGATAAAGGTTAAACTTGCCCATAAAAAATAAGAAAAAACTAGATCCACAGGCTTTGCGTGGTTCTGAAGCAGTGCGTAACAGTTTTGATTTTACGTTTAAAACTGTATCGCAAAGTATCGTCACAGTAACATAATTTCCTATCATAATTAACTGGATACAGGTCGTTTAAACTCAAACCATGTTCAACAGATCGCCGAAACTCGTGTCTTCTCCAGATTGCCCAAACGCAAAGCATATTCGACAGATCGCTTCAACTGACATTATATAAATATTCCTTAACCTACTGTTTTGAACAACAGTTGAAAGTAGCAAACTCCGACAAATAAACTTTATCGTTTCAACCACAACATGCTTACAAAAGAGACTCCGGCCATAAAATCGGAAGTAAACATCGTACAATAAACATTAATATACCATTGGATAGATCTCGTTGAGATAACCAAAAGTCAAGGTCATGACATACGACCCTTCAAAGTTTTCATATTTTTCAACCAGAAATAAATAAAAAACAAAATCAAAATTTAAAAATCGGTTCTCGAATATTATGTAGCAATCGATAGTAGATACCACAGATTTTAAATTTATACAAATTGGATTACCTCCTGAGACCCCATTTCGATTTAAAGAAAAACATGCAGTTACTATAGAAGAAAATACAAAATTTTCAAATATTAAAAAGCACAATTTTGATTTCACTGCAAAAACTCACATCTTTCTTTATCAGGTACTTTAAAGCCTCTACATGTCCATATAAACAAACAATATGTATAGGTGACTGTCTTTTGTTATCAACCACTTTAAAACTGTGATTACAAACTGTGTTTAAATAGTGTAATGTAGACCTGAAAATTAGAATTGTTACCTTAATTCTATCATAAAATTTTTTATTACTTGAGTCTTGTTTCTGAAGTCATGATTACACAGGTTAATTTTAAAAAAAACTGAACACTATACTCAAAAAAATTCTGAAATAACTTACACTATTCCAGATTCAGCAGCATGCAACATGGCACCACGACCCTGGCTATCAATTTTACTAACATCACCACCAAACTCTATCATGAGATTCAAGACTTGAGTATTTCCTCGTTTACATGAGAATAACGTTGGTGTTTCCTGATTGGCATTAGGAGCATTTGGATCAGCCCCAGCTCGTAATAATAATAAGATAATGTTGTAATCTCCACCAAGACATGCTCGGTGTAATGCTGTCATCCCATGCCATGCTGAAAGAGAGAGATAATAGTGTAGATTTTATACAGTGGTGTAACCTATATTCGTGCATATAAGGAGTCAACATCAAATTTCGTCAAATTTAAAAAACGGGAATGTTTCTTCCAATAAGCTTACTCTGTGAAATAATTAAAATTGGTCTGTTTCAATTTTCTTTTTGAATCCCCCACCTTGGCCCATATTTCATGAGTAACCAATATGGTAATGGCTACAAAATGGGTCACCTATTTTCGTGTGCAATGTAATCTATAAAATAAGACGAGAAAAACACGTATGGATACCCAGTGGTATAAATATCATTTCTAAGTATTTATATTTAATGTCAATCAATTATAACTTATGATAATTCCTTCAAAGAACAGTGATTTTTTTAAAAAAATAGTGACTGACAAAATAAGATAAATTTAGAGAAATTGATAAATGATATGGAGTCCGCTAGTTTAACTTTGTTCACTGGAATATATTTCAGCAGACGACACTTGGTATTTCAATTACAGCTTGGGATTATAAAGAAATTTGGCCAATAAATAATCGTTACATTTGGTAATAACTTAAATCTGCCATTTTGTCTATGTTAGAAATAGATAATAAATATGACATTGCTTTGAATTGAAACGATAGGAAAAATTCTGCAGGTTGATGTAAAGATAACCAATGTTTATCAAAACATGCAAAAACAGATATCACCAGAGGTTTCCCATCTAAATAATTTATCATTTTTTAGAGATACACAAAATTAGGGTCGCATTAACAAGAATAGGCTTATAGGCCTAGTTCTATCTGCTTTTTTTTCGGTGATCAAAATGACATCCTATGTCAATGAGACCAGAAGAAATAAGTTTGATGTGATATTTATCGACCATTTCAGCCATGTATCATTTAATCAGTGAGAAAAACTTATGCAATAGAAATAATCTAAAAATTGATTTAAAAAGAAGATTATTGACTGACCTTGAAGTTTTATAATAGATGGATTTTGTTTCAGGATCTGTTGCACACCAGGAGACGACGCTGTACCGATTGCCTGAAGTAAGACATTAAAATCTGCTGATGCAGAGGTGTCAGTCATATCTATATCTCTAATATCACAAAATATGATTCAAGAGAAAATTTTATTTATGGTAATTAATCCCCAAAAAAAAGTTTTTTTTTTTCTCAAAATAATTTTCATTTTGTCAGCCATGACAGTTTACACCGGAAGTTATGGTCAAAGAGAACTGTCGAAGGTTTTGATTGGTGAATAATTTTTCTCAACCAATAATATGAAAGCTTGTTGAAAGGCCTTTGACTGGAAATACGAATGTTTACAGGCTTATTACATTCTGATCCTCTATTTTCGTTGCTTTAAGATTGGTAAGCGTGTCAAAATTTCACTCTATTGTTACTCTATGAGTCTCAAACTTGAGTGCAAAACATAAAAAAACACAAATCACAAGGACCTGATTAGTGATAGAAATAAAATTGAAATGCAGAACAGCGCATTGGAATAGGGCCGAGATACCATCACACTCACTTGGTTTATTTTCCTCGCAAAAATTGTAATTTGACTGTTTTGCAGCCAGCGTGGACACAGACATATATTACAAGTAAAGGTAGCTGCAATATATTCTATCGGAAATGCACATTAATTACCATATCTATAGGACCAAGGGCAAAGTAGCCATCAAAGTAATTTTATTTAGCCTTTTCATTTTTAGGTCTACTAAGCTGTAAGTTAAAATTGTCTGTTCTATTTGAAGATGAAATAACACTGATGGATAAAGTTGTAAGATAGAAGGCATAGGCCTATTATCCTTTTATGTTTACTAAATTTGAAAAAAAAAACAATAGATTTTCATTATGATGGTGAAAAGTGAAGAGTTTAGAACATGCCAAGATGAAGAAGAGAAAAAAGAGAAAAATAAAAAGATCAGGAAAAGGACCAAGGCTTTGTTAAAGAATGTCAAAGATCAGGTACAATTAAAGCCTTTGGTTTTTTTTGGTTTTTTTTTTGAATAGCCACAGTTTTCTTTATATTTTCTTTCAGGTATTTGCAACTATTTTAAGATGCTAATTTGGTTTGTGATTTTACTGGGCATTAGGCCTATATGAATAAAAAGCTAGCCACCTAGTCTGTTCTACAATACAATTCAAATAGGCCTATGACAAAATCAATTCATTGACCAAAGCATTAAATTAAAAGTGTATGTTCCATGGCAATAAACCAGCAAATTTCCAATACCAAGGTTATATTCTGTATTTCATCTTTATTTTTTAGTTCTTAGAGAAAATGAAACATAAGCGTATCTGTATTTCAAAGCATAAATCATGTTTTGCTAGTGAGTGATATATATAATTTATCTTTACAGATGGAGTTCTATTTCAGTGATTCAAATTTACAGAAAGACAGATTTATTAAACATGAGATGGATAAGAATACTGATACATGTAAGTTATAAACTAATTTTTGGGATCTGTATGTTTTTGTTTGTCGCTAGGTTGCAGAAAATTCTTCTTTATATCCCATTCTGTATGATTTTGACCATATAACATGCGACACTGCTAACCAGTACAAAACATTATTAAAAATAGTCAGATAATGAATTTGTATCCCAGAACCTAGTTTGAAAAGCTTCTAATACATAGATCTGTATTTTGATCAGATCTTTGATTTATCTGTGAGTTACCTGCATATTTTGTCAAACCTTTTTGCTTGACTTGAATATCTATATGTTTGTATTACAGATGTACCTATTGATATGTTTTTAAAGTTCAATAAAATGAAAACAATGACTGAAGACCTATCAATTATTATTAAAGCTGTAGATAAATCCAAGAAGTTAGAGGTGAGTTACATTATACATATAATGTTAGACACAATTACCATCCTGTCTTCAACTGATTGTAAAGATATTTTACACAGTATTATAAATAAGTCTGGTGCATCAAAAATTAAATTTTGATATCTTACCATGTGATATTTAAACTTAAAGTAAAAACATCTGAAAATGATTTATTGGTCAATGTGCAGTGGCAGAGTCAGGTTTACGTCTGAGGGAGGGGGGCGAAATATCTGAGATTTCCCAAATTCTAACCTAATTATGAGATTATTGCCTGAAATACTTACTTTCGGGGCTGCAAGGGGGGGCGGCTGATCCCTCAGCCCTCTCCGCCACTGTCAATGTGGTAGATTGAAATTTATTTTATTTTTAAGCTAAATGAAGATAAGACACAAGTTAAAAGGATTCACCCATTTATCCAAAGAGATGTACATGAAATAGACTCTAGAACAGTTTATGTAGTAAGATTTTATATTTAGATTCAGACAGTTAAAGTGGAGGTAAAACAAAAATGTTACACATGTACTTGTACATGTACAAGTTTGGAACCTTGGGATTACCCTTACTTCAGAATTTGTGAATTTAAATAATTGTGTGTTCATATAAGTGAACCAATATGATCTCTAAATGTTCAAAATAGTAGTTGTTTTATTGGATCCACTTTCAATTTTGAAGGAATGTTTACCTAGAAATGTCAACCATGACTGGATGAAGACTGTATTTTCTGAATGTGGAAAGATAAATTATGTTAGTTTACCTATTTATAAGTCAACAGGAGATCCTAAGGGCTTTGGTTTTGTTGAGTTTGATTCTGTACATTCTGCTTCTAAAGCATGTGAGGTATGTTTGTTTTATTATTTATATATTATGTCATTGACAAAACTAATAGTTTGAAACATTGGAGATTCAATAAACAAAACAAAAAACTTTGAAAAAGACAAAAAGTCAATAGATGACATAAGAGAAGACGAAATGCTTTGTAAAAACTGAATGCAATGTTAATTTCTGTTTTAGTTATTAAATAATCCACCAATGGAGTTAGGAACAAGAGCTGGTAAATTTCCTAAATCTAATAAACAACTTGAACAATTAAAGAAACATGGTGTTGATGAACAAGAAGGTTGGTGTAAATTCTAATATTTAGCTTTTACACCTGATATAAAATTATTAAGGATTTTGATGTATTTTTGAAAAAAGGAAAACTTAATTTACATGTGGATGTGTATTTCTATTTTCAGAAATGGCAACAGAAACAGATCTTGTCCCTGTTAAAGAGGAAATAACTCCAGTTAAACAACGCAAACGTCGGCAAAGAAATACAAGTGAAAGTAGTATAGATGGCTCTGATGTTTCAGTTTCTAAAAGACGAAAGAAAGATGATGCCATTGTTGAAGACACCAAGTCAAAATCCTTTGATGTGTCTTTTAAATCTGATGACGAGGGTTCTGCTAAAAAGAAGAAAAAGAAAAAGAAGAAAAATAGAAAATCTCAAGATGTTAAAACTGATGAAGAGTCAGAAGTCACAGACAGTGGTAGTGCAAGTTGCTTTGATAACAATCTCAAGACTGATTTGAAAGGTTCTAACAAACTGGACAAGATTGAACTTAAATCAGATAATGATTCAAATATTGGTGCTGGCATAGAAAGTACAAAAAGTAAAAAACGAAAATTGCCGTCTGATGAACCAGGTGAAAGTGTTAGTGACAGTGGTGAAATTTCACTTCAAAAGAAACACTGTAAGACTAAAGAAAGATCAGAATTTGACATTGCAGAAAATAAAGTGCATAACAAATCATCAGAAGCTAGTGTTGAGTTTTCAGGTCTAGTTTATCAAGAAGAAATTGAAAGGAAAGTGGTTACTGAAACCAAATCTGAGTCTAAAAAGAAAAAACGCAGACGTAAGAAGAAGAAGGATGTCATTGAAGCAGAAACACTTCATTTAAGGGTTATTCCGAAGTAAGTTAGCCTTTTTTTATAGTTAAAACAGTAAAATATTTAGACCAGAATGTCTGTCTTTAATAAATGTAATTTGATAGCAGAGGAACCAATTCTACAAGGATATTTTAAATTTTCATAAACCTTAATGATAATCTTATTGTTATAAACACACAATTTAGAATATCTCTATATATTATTGTGCGAGAGACACAAATATAACCCTGCATTTCCTTTTTTTTTTTAGGTCAGAGTGGTTAACATTACGCAAACAATACTTAAATACTCAGAAAACCAATATGTCTGAATTGAAGAAGAAGTTAATTTCTCATCAAAAGGAAAATAATCCTGATGCAAAATTAAAGGGAGATAAACAAATTGAGTTTGTACCGAACACCATTGTGAAGATTGAATCAAGGTCTCCATTAGATAAAAAGACCATAAGGGTAAGAAAAATTACAATATTAAAATTCATTTAAACAGACCGTTCATGGTGAAGTTATGAATTGAAAATAAAAATAGGGCAATTCTGCTTTCCTGACAAAATTTCTGTTAGATTTCTAAAGTAAAATCTTTTTAAATATTCATACTATAGAATTAGTAGACACCCATATACAATGCTGCAGTAGTTATATAAAATTGATTACCAATTGAGTATTAAGCAATACTGTTGTTCAACTTATAGGTCTAGTTATGTCAAAAGAAGTTTTGAGTCCATATTTTCTTAAAAAAATAATTATTGTCTGATTCATAGGAACTATTTGCTGCTAGTGATGTTAATATAGCCTATGTTGATGTAACCGATGGCAACACATCTGGTTTTATTCGATGTAAAGATTCTTCTAGTGCTAAATCTGTAGTCAATAGCAACCTGGAATTTTATAGATTTTGTCTACTTCAAGGTATTTAGTTTTTTTTTTTGTAAAATGAAATAAAGTTTAAATATGTGCTTTATTTTGTTATCTTTTTTAGTAGAATCTAAGCATGATTATGACTTTCTAAGTAGAAAAATACTGATGTGACATTACCTTCTGTCTTTGTGTCATGATCAGTATTGAAAGGCTTTAGACCATTAACCTGTATAATGTTTATGGTCTTGAAAATATTTCAGACAGTTTCTTAACATTTGCAGGTGATGATGAGAATAAATACTGGATGAAATTAAAACTGGATCGTGAAAATAAATTCAACACTAAAACTAAAGCTAAAAAACGCGGGCAAGAAAAGGTTGGTTATAGTTTACACTTATTTAAAAATATATTTGATAAGGCAATATGAATGAAAAGTGTCATTATAATATCTTTTTAATATAAAGTTATTAAACAAATTGTCAAATGGAAAACAAATGATATTGATAGATCTAATAAAATTTCTCTAATTTCAGTTGGTTGATAAAGCCCAGAGGATCAATATTAAGAGAGTAGACAAACAACATGTATTTTTTGAAGATTAAATTTTTGATAATTCTACAAAGTGATTTTAATTCTTCTTATGTTGATATTTTAACTGATGAAATCAGTGAAGTGCTGTACTTAATGTCTATCCATGGAAAGTTGTTTAAGATTGATTTTGCTTACTTGAATGAGATTTCAGTCATCAACAATAACTCCTGCTAGAGATAACAAACCAATACTCAAGGAAAATTGTAAATTGATTGGAAGATCATTTTCACGATTTTTGGAGAACAAAGTATTTTTATAGTGACAGAAAATGAATGTGGGCACTACTCTTAACACCCCCTATTCATAATAGAAAACAAAACTTGTAAATATTATCTTAATTAACTTACACAAATATACAAAAATACAAAATTATACAAATATAAATAAATATGGTTTGTAGAAATAATGAGAGGTATAAATGATGTAGACTAAGAAATATATCTATCAATGAATCTGAAATTCTTGTGACAAAGTTTCACAATTGTCTGGCATTTAAAAATACAACAAAATAAAGATAATTGAGCATACAATGTAAATTGTAATGAAATACATAGATAAAATATAATGAACTTGATCAATATTTTAAGTAATTTTGAATTGTTGACTACTGACACTGCATGGAAAAAGCGGGATTTGTAAAGAGGCGTTGAATTGTTAAGATGTTGAGGTAAAAATTATAGGTGCAAACATTGTCACCATTTGAAAAAATCAGGAAAATCTGGCACATTTTGCATAGAAAGCCAAAATAATACTTTGTAAATGGGCAAATTCAACTTTCCTGGTATCATGCATACAAATTTCTTTCATGAAGAAATATGACCAATTCTTCCCTTCACATTAAAGGGACTTCATTGCTATTATGTACAAATACAAACTGTAACCCAAACACATCCAGATTATATATATCTTGTTACAGTATAAACAATATTTGACATATTGAAATACATTATTATCAAACCTCTGTCCCAGTGCCTGTATTAATGGGATGGGTGTCCACATTTCGTCCATTTGTAACATTTACATCTTTCAGTTTAACAATATTAGTCTTTTCTCCTAATTCTACAACTGTAGTCTTCGGTTCAAAAGATTTTAAACTACGCAGGCTTTTACTAGATTCTGAATGTTTTAAATTTTTACTAGAATCACTGTGTTTTAAAATTCTACTTGCTGACGAACAACGCTTAATGTCTGATTTAGTTTCTTTTGAAAAATTCACATTATTTTCTAATAAACGTTTCTGTTCGGCTAGAACTAAATTATTTTGTTTAATCTCAATTGGAGTATTATCCTTTTTATTTTTACGTCTTTTCCGCACAAAAATGAAAATAATCACACATATAATCACTAAGAATATAAGAATTAGAATTGGTGTAAGAATACTTATTATTGGTGTAGGAGAATCTTTATCAGGAGGTGCTGCAAGCTGTAGGATTATCATATTAGTTCCATTTTGAATATTTGATTTTGAATCTGGTTGTTGACGTATATCACGTCTGTGCCTAAGCATTTGTAAACCCTGATTTAATCTACTATCTGGATTGTTTCCTCCAAAAGCACTACGTTTGAATCGAAGATTATGTTGATCATTTGGACCAATAGTATACAATACTTGTAAATACCATTGATGACCACTTGTTACCTACAACATACAAACAATTGTCTTATTAGTTTTTCAATTATTATTGAGTGTATTCAGGAATAAATTCAATTATTGCTCTCAAACTTGCTCTGGAGAAACATCAAATTAATGGAAAACTTCTTCTTACATACCTTGTAAAGAGGGTCAACATTCAAAACAAATCCATCTACTCCAGGCATAGCAGTAAGCTGGGCATATTCTGGATTCTCAGAAGCCAATTCTGCTTGGAATGGAATTTCATTAAAATCTTTAACTTCTACTTCTGGGTTTCCACTATCCTGAAAGTAAAAGGAGAATACTTATTGTTAAAATATCTTTTTAGATGAAATTCTGTAAATTCTGATATCACATCTAAAGCTATACAGAATCTTCTTAATAAATATATAGAATGTACTGACAGAATGAAATCATGCTTACTAGAATAAGAAACCTGTATCTAAGTTGATTATTGGGCTGTAAACAACCAAACTGAGGTCCGTTATGAAACTGTTCACCAGTAGGATCATATGTTGGTATATATCCATCACGACCTGCAAGAAGACAATATTTTGGTTGGTATTTTCTGGAATCAAAATAGTATAACTTTTGTAGTAGAATTATCATCATCCGATAAAGTACTGGAAATAGTAAATTTTCTACCTGTACATAAATAGACTTTCTGTATAGATAGCTGGTAGGCTGATTTTAAATCTTGATCTGGATTCCATAAAACACGTCCATAGATCTTCTCTCCTAATATAATAAATAAATTATTACACTCATTAAAATAGTGAATGTCATTGTTTTAACTTGTCAATACAGGCCAACATATTGAGCCAAGAAACGCACAATCAAGCAACTTTTGACCAATTCATTAAAGGGACAGATACGCCATTTTTTGACAAATCATATTTTAGTCTTAGAAACGGGACTTTTTTAGTTAAGCCAATCAGTAATAGTGTTCATAGCCAACCGTCGAAATTTGAGCCTTCAAGTCCATGTGTGTCCAGAATCATCCACATTTGAATGTTACAATGTCATTTTAAGACACTCTGTGATATATTAAATTAACATATAGAAATAGCGAGTAAAATTACTAGCTTGAAGCATTTTTAAGAGAATTATGCGATTTTCTTACATTTCTAGTACCTTGAAGACTAATTACTTATATCCAAGACTAAAATCAACCACCAAAATGGTGCATCTGTCCCTTTAAATGTTCATTTTGGTCCCAGTCCAGCCATACTTCTATATGATATGTATAAAGCAAACTATAATCAATAGTCAACTGGAATTCAGCTATGCAAAGATAATATGATATATTGTTTTTGCTGTACATGTGACTGTGTATGAAATGACTTTGAAATCTACAGCTCTTGAACTTTGAACACAAACCTTGAGAAAATGCACCATTAAATTCCCAGTCTTCAGGTTCCATGATGGCTGACTTGGGATCCAATAAAAACATCTTACGATTATTGGCCAATTGGAAGTCAGTATTAAGTGAATACACCAATGGAACTGGTCGATTAGTTTGTTGAAAAGCTATTGGCACTTCAAATCTGCAATAAGTATCAAGTATTTAAAAATACCATTGTATTGAAATTGATGCAGAGGCTTATTAATAATATGACATTCAAGAGGTATGTACAGGAACACTATAATATATCTTGTAATATCTTGAGACTCATTTACGGTTCAGTTTGGTATACCAAAGTTATGATTGATTTGACTGAGGTCATAGTGAAATTTTCAAAAACTAGCCATCCAAAAATGGTTCGGGCCCTACCGATGACAATACCATAATCATATATTGGAACTGGATGGGGCAAGATTTGTCGGTTTACTTTTAATCTATTACATGGTGTTTGAACAATATTTTATGCTTAGGAAATTACCTTTGAGGTTGTTGAGCTGTACATGGTATAATGTCATCAGTAGAATGTAGGCGATATTTTTCATGTGATTTGACAGTACATGGTAACAGATTAATCTCATATATACCAGTATAATCCTAAATAACAGATAACAGAATTCTTTTATATTCTGTATAATACAATATATTTCTGTTCAGCTCTTTAAATTTTTTATTAAAGATAAACAGCCTTGTGTAGTGAGAACCAGATGGAATTGATGAATGTCCATGGAATTTGGAAACCTGATTTGTTATAAAGTTTATCTCCAATTCTATTTCTATATGAAATTCACCCACCTTTAGATTAAAATTACTAGTAGCTGTCCACATCTGTATAGGACTATCATAGGTAGCTTGAGACCAGGTGAGGTCTAGTTTAAATGATACACCCAGATTTGTTGGTGGTGATACATGACTTTCAAATCCTTCTGAAGTTTGATGTCTCATTACATATAGACCTTAAATAGTAAAAATATAGTCTGTAAAAACAAAGATTTCAAATTCATTGTTGTTGACTTTGTTGTAATTGTAAATAATGCATGATAATGGATACAAAATATTTGAATGGCATTTATTTTTATAAGTAAAAACATATTTACCTCTAAATTTAGGTTTTGTTTTGAATCTTACAACCAGTTTTCCATCATCACCAATTTGTATTTGTAGCACCTGAAGTCTTCCTCCATTTTCCCCTTCTGTTTCCAAACCTGACTTCCACAAGATGGAGTCATAATAGAATGAAAAATCCATTTCTGTTCTATGTTCCATAGAGCCCCATCCAATTGGTGCTATTGTGTAAAGATATGATACATACAGTGGCACACGTGCTGTCAGATGTGTTTCTCCTGAGTCTTTAACTTGAAAATCAGACACAATTCTGCCACCACAGATGTCCACTAAATCTGTCATATGATACCAAGCATCAAATTGCCAGGTGCAGGATTTTAAATTCAGGTGCTTATACAATCTCAAAGTTTTTGGTTCCCGTAAAGTTTCATCAAATTGGTATGGGAAATCATATCCTGACCCAACAGAAACTGGATAATCATTACTGCCATTACTAAGGAAACTACCAGAAAGCAATGGTAGCATCTCTGTATCTGTGATGATGTTTGAACAAACATGTTGTTGTCTATATATGGAATCAGCCAATAAGAATCTTAGATTGTGAATAGGGAATGTTGAAATGATTGGAAGCATGCCATCAGAATGTGGAATTGTGACTGAAATGTGGATGGTGTTTGGATGCTCCAGATCATCTGGTTGTAAATAGTTCAATTTTGCTAAAAATGATTGAGCTTGGTAACCATAAGGATGTGGCCCAAACACTGGAGATTTACATAATCCATTGTTCTGACCTATCACCACTGGTTTTGATTTGAGGGGAATTCCTGGATTTCCATTATCATGAACAGGTTGAGCAACACAGCGAATGTTAAATCTTGGACGGAAATATATGCTGTCAAGTACCATTGTGTTTGTACTGGTAAACAAAGTGTTGTCTGATATAGTTACAAATGGTGGTCTAGAGCCTTTCTCATCTGTAGGCATAGCAACTTCCCAGCTGTATCTGATAGTTGATTGGTTAATGGTTGATTCTTGGCATAATTTATGAGTTTTATGATAATCTGGATGGCGTTCATCACATGGCTAAAATGAAACATTTAACAGCTAAAAATAACGTTTGACACTAACATGCCTATGATGGTCTTGGTTCAAAATGGAGATTTTAGATATGTTGGTAATTAGCTAATAAACAGCAAAAGTAAAGCAGAAATTACTTTTAATCCATTTTAACTTGATAAATTGTTATTTACTCACTGAGATACAGACAACAGGATAACCTGGTGAAGGATTTATTTTACTGCCCTGTTCAACATCTTCATAATTTAACAAAGACACAACCTATAAGACAGAAATATAGAATATCTGTAGTAAAAGTGGAATCCATGACATCAACTATCACGCAAAACAAAGTAACTATTTTATCATATCATAATTAGATTGATAATACCCAGAAATAAAAGTATTGTTGTAGACGTGTTAATTCCAAAGTGTACTAACCATTGGTGGGGCTGGTAATATAAGACTACCAGAGACCTCATCATCCAGTATTGTGATAGTGGTTGTTATAACAGAGCCAAGTACAGCACCAACTGGTGTTTCAGGTCCAAGTTGAACTGTAAATGATTCATGCCATTCAATGTCACTGTTGTACAGTATATCTACTGGAAAATCAAGCTCCACCATACCTATAATATTACAAAAACTAATTAAAAAAAAATAAATACAGGGATTATTACTTAGATTTTGTTGTAAAGCTTTAAATGACAACCTGGGAAATTAAAAATTTTTGGTTAATTTTTCACTATTCTACAATTTTTTTAACAGAAATTCTGGCCGTGAAAGTCATCAAGCAACAGCTCTGCTCTCAAAATTGAATCATTATCAGGACATTCTTACAAATCTCTGATAATTCTTAATGATCATTACTAAATTGCTATGACCATTACAATCTCCACTTAGAGAATACTGCATATAATTGCAGTTGCAGAAAATTGCAGTTGCAGAAAATGAGATTTCAAAAATAATGTCTGCCAATAACTCATCCCGGTAAATTAATTAAACTATACCTGGTAGAAAATTAAGTAAAGAACTTCTAGGATTATAATCTAATCCTGATTGTGCTGAACCATCTCGAGTACTACATCTTACACTTGATATTTTTCTGACATCACCTGACCTTCTAATCTTTACTGTTACTGTGGTTATCTGATCCATAATGCTAGGTTCATTAACACTGTATGCTATCTCTGAGAATTCTATTGTTGGAACTAAAATAAATGCAACAAATTGTTAACACTAATTTGTGGACTTTTGAGTAACAACCTAGGTGTTAGAATTTTTTTCTCCATGTCATGCTGAACAATATTTTTATTAGTAGTTATGCTCAGTTCACACCAACGGCGCTTTGATCGCGCTTTAAAGCGCAGTACAAAGCGGTATCAAAGCGTAACAAAGCTCGACTAAAGCGCCAGGGTCGTAATAGATCGTTGGAAAGCTTTGAGCAAAACTGGATATTCGGCAAGAGCGCCAAAAATTTTTCAACTGTTTAAAAATTTTGGGCGCTCTGTCACGAATTGATTAAAGCGCCGAGAATGTATCAAAGCTTAACAAAGCGTAACAAAGTTCAGCAAAGCTTGACTCAAAGCGTAGGAAAGCTTAACAGAGCTTTATTCCAAGCGGGGACCCCAGTCTTCACGGTCTGTCACCACTTGATCAAAAGCGGCATGAAATCGGCCATTTCGAAATTTTCGAAGAGCTTAACAATGCACAACAGAGCTTGATAATCGTACCAGGGCGTGATTTAAAGCGTCATAACCGCATCAAAGCTTATCAAAGCGTGATTTAAAGCGTAACAAGGCCTGATCAAATCGGGAAATAATTCGTCCCCAAAGCGTAACCAATTCGTATCGGAGCGTAACATTACTTAGGAGATCGTGATATTTTTGGAAAAGTAAACAAAAAATGATGGCGCTTTGCTCGCCGATTTAAAGCGCAGCATTCGCCTTTGGTGTGAACTAGGCATTAGTTTTGTAGTCTGTACCCTCTTTTTTCAGGTTTAAAGGTAAAAAAAATAATTTATCACATCCCAGCTTACATGTAGCCTCTGAATTTTCCAGTCAGCTGGACTAGTCATTTAAATAATACTCACCATCATCATTGTTGGTAATAGTAACAATAATTCTATCAATATCATCTATCTCTACTCTCTGACCTCCTTCAGCTTCAGGCAAGGTCAAACGTAGCAGAAATGTTTCATTTTCTTCAAATTCATCATCATTTACTATGTTTACAGTACAGTTTTTAAACTAAAAGTATAGCATGAAATTGTTTTTGAATTGTACAAGTGGGACATTGGGTTATGATGTCAAGAACAAGGCTTTCCAGATTCATAAGTTTTGTGTAACATTAAAATTCACCAGATGAAATATGGAAAACAATGTATTCCAGAGTTTTTGTCAAGAGCTAGGAGGTACCTTTTCTCCAGGAAGGAAGACAATTCTTGAACTGTTGTCTCGAATACGTTCTTCATAATCCATCATAACATGTCCTGATTTCTGCCTGGTATAACAAATCACCGAAGTCTTGATCGTCAAGTCTCCTGTTCTCATGACTGTTGCATTTAAAGTTTTGTTAAATTCATCAATGGAATACTTCTCTTGAATAAAACCAATTCTTGGAACTAAAAAAAAATTCAAAATGGGCCATGAGTTTGCTCTGGTATGTGATTTACATCCACATATAGATTGCTAAGATAATCTGGTAATCATGGTACAAAATTGCATAAGGTGTTCCCGAGATACCAGATATAATGTATAATTTGTACACAAATACTCACTGTCAAGTGTTTCATCAGAAATAACCATTGTCATAATGTATGGTTCAGATAAGGTACTCCCAACTGCAGAGTTGAGAAAAACTTGAAATGTTTCATTTCCTTCCAACCTTGGTTCAAACTCATCATCTAATATACTGATTTCACATTTCTAAAATGAAGAAAAAACCATAGATGATATTTCCGTTTATGTATAGCTTTTTACAAATTACAGATGAACAACATTAATTCTGCAGTAAGAAAGATTATATTATCTTTTTCTGGTTATGAACACAACAACTTACAACATTCCAAGAATGATATTCCTTTCAAGATTATTTTCAATGTTTCAAGATTAACCTCTTACCTGAGCAGTTTGTCCAGGACCAAACGTTATTTGACTTGAACTGGGAATGTAATCTTGACCAGGATTGGCTGATGGTGGTGATGACAGTCGTGTTGCACACCACACCATTGTACTATGGGTTAGATCAGAACCTTCCCGAAAAACCTCTACTTCTACAGTACCTGAATTCTCTAAAACCTTGATACTATCACTGGTAAAATATACCATTGATTCTAAAATTAACAAAAGAACTGTTAATGCCTTTGTGCTGATGAAAGGAATTGTATCTAGACCAGTCTTTGGAAGACCTGATACAGGTATAGGTTTTCTTATCCATCTACCATTTTCCTCTGAAATTTTCAGAAAAACTTCTTGCAGTCTATTATACAGTTTCATTAAAGTTTTCATCTGTTCTATCCTCTCATTACTGTACAAATTATCATTCAAATGGCCTAAAACAATGCAGAGTATGAAACAAATGTGGGGATTCTTGGAAATGTCAAAATGTCAATTATCGATTTTGCGATTTATGGATTTTGTCATAATTATGATTAGATATCTTGAACTAAGCACTCATAAACACCTACCATCATTAGGTCCAGCTATGATCACAGTAGCTGTATCTAGAACCCCAAGCTTTCCTGGTAATGAAACATCGACTAAACTAACTTCAAATTGTTCTGTTGTCTCTGCTATACTATCATCTATTATCTGAAGTTAATAATAACGTCTGTAATATGGAGAGAGAAGATATTTCCATTGCACTATTAGCAAGGTCACTTTTAATCAAAAGATGCCAGTTTGTTTGGTTTTTCTTCCTTAAAGGAAGCAGATCTTTCCATAGAAATTCTATTCATTTCAACCTGAACCTGATTAAGACCAGATTATCTTGATAAAACTTAACTAACCTTGACATCACAAGTTGCCATAGTAATGCCTGGAGGAAAGATAACTCTGTTACCGTTTGATTTAGATCTTGTAATAAAGTCAGAGCCTGTTTCTAGACCGGTTGGGCTGCTCCCTGTTGCTGTTAATGACATAGTAAAGCAGATTACTGACACCATACTGCTCAGATCTCCTGTAAAGTTTGAAATATAGTATATTAGATGCAGATTTCAAGAATCTACACCAGGAAATCCTAATGAAGAGGTTCAAAACTAGCATAGTTTAAAATCTCAAAAATGGAGAGAATAAATGGCATGAAATATCCACCCCAAAGGACGCCATATGATATGCAATAAAGAATTTTTAGATTAGCAGCTCAAATTCCTATTTTGTCATCTGTCACAAGATATTACCTGAACGTGTTAATGTTATTGTAGCATAAGAATCTGTTTCTTCTACTTGATAAATATCACTTGTAAACTCTATGACAGGAGCTGGAAAACACATAAAAGGGTGTTTTATGGGGGATCTATAAGTTTAGATCAGAATAGATAGTGCAATTAATAATAGTTTGATATGTCAAAGACTAAGAGAAACTTCAGAAAATATTTTTTTTTGGTACCCACATAATTTAAATGGTATATCAGTAAGCAAACACCATTAACATTAGCCCAAAACCTCATATCACTCACCATCTTCCTCATCATAAATAGTAACAGAAGATTTACTGATGTTTCCTAAGACTGCATACACTGGTGATTCTAGTTCTATGTAAAATGTTTCTGGTCCTTCATACAAAGAATCATCATTAATTATTATAGTACATAGTTTAGTATCCTGCCATTCATCAAATTGAACCTGTAAAAATTGTAGGCCTATGATCAATTTAATCAATTTACAAGGCTTTAGGCTTATTTAAAAAAAATAATAATCCATTTACAGTTTCAAAATCATAAATTTACACGTTTTGGAAAATCTCCCGACTTTTCACCAAATCTCCTGATTTTTTTTCCTGACCTGTACACATGTTTGAATTTAACACGCTTCTACATGAATTGTTAACATCAACAGTATAAAAGTATGGTCAACAGCTCTCTTGATGAAATTGGTCTTTTGATTGGTAGAAACACACTATTGCTATTTATATATTCATGGTTACCTATTCAACAAGACGTATTTACCTGTCCTTTATGAGAAATAAAGTCTTGAACACCAGGTCTTGTTGATAGTTGTTTGGAAGTTGCTGATCCTGCCTTGGTTTTACAAGTCACAATTGAATACTGAAACATAAGTAATAACAGTACCATTATACCTATGTATGTGCTGTATCAATTAAATGAGATGAATATAATATAGTGCACCATAAATATCCTTTCAGAAATTGCATGTGAAACTGAAAACATCAGAATTATCTGAAGTTATTTCCTACCTGTTTAAGGTTACCATGGCGATGGACAGGTATTTGTATTATGCCAGCTGACTCTGTTACATTAATCAATGGTTTTTCAAAACTTAAAACAGACCATAAAATATAGAAGGTATTTCCAGGGACAACATTAGGTTTACTGTCCTGAACATTAAAGAAAAAGCTATCCTGGTTGGTTGGTGGATTTCCAGTTAAAACATATCGAATCTTCCCAGAATTCAGATCGTCTGAAGATAAAGTTTTTTAGTGTATTAAAGTTTGAAACAATCTTCCTATTTATTATGCAGCATATCTTATTTTATTACCAAAGATTTTAGCTGCATATCATCATTTAAGTGTTCAGTAAGTCTAGACTTAGGGGACTGCTTATCCTTATTCTGAAAACAATATTTCACAAGCCCTGATGTCAAGTGGTGTAAATCCTGTTAGCCAGATCCTTAACCTAAGTCTTGGTATTTCTCTCTTTGCAAGACTACACTTACCAAATTAAATCTGGTGACATAAACTTCTTTCAGTTTTCTTAAAAAGTTTTATATATGTTATCTGTTATGTTATAATCGGACTGACTATTTGAACCTACCTTGAGTAAATGAAGAGATTGAACTACCAAGATATGAAGTTTGTTCTATACGACCATATTTAGGTGGAGTTTTAATAATATAAACTATCTGATCATCAGGTGTATCTTCATCAGTTACTAATAATTGTTCATCTGTTATAAGGTTAGTTATCTAAATTCAAACAGAAATAATAGACTATTTTTTTTTCCAAAAAATATGAATCAGAAGATATATATCATTTAGGAAATCATGTTTAAGTTCAGGAGGCCCATGACTCAAAGAGTTGAGGTTTTCTCCAGGGTCAGGGACTCAATCTCAATATAGTACCCTCAGATGTTCCCAAGGCCTCATCAAGATGTTTCTGATTGTTCAGATGGGATGATTAACCAAGACCTTGTGTGTTACTGGTTGTGCTCATTATATAAATACCCTGACAGTTAGAATCTACATAAAACTCTGAAGTTGAATAGCTTACCATATTCCTTGATTTTTCAAGAAATTGGAGTCCGAGATTTTTGTGTACAACTGGACTACCATCATCTGTTGGTAGTATTTTGATCTTGAAATGCTGAAAATGAATGTAATGTACTTTGTGTAATGAAGATCTGAATGAATTTCACAATCCAGACATCAAAAACCAAACCTGACTCTAACTAACCACTGATAGATATTTTGATATGAGACAAACATTTCATTGAAACAATACCATTATTATAATATAACTGACCTGTGGTGTAGAAATTGGCACCACTCCATTAGAGTCTCCATTCTGTACAGCGAATTCAGCATTAGTGCCATCACTGACAGTAAATTTAAATGTATCCTGGAAATTCTCAGACCCATCATGTTGATAACTGATTCTGTTCTCATAAATGTCTGCCATTGTAAATTTTGACACTACTTCAAAATCATCCCCCTGTTTTATATTAATGGTGCCAAGAACAGGTGGTTGAATTATGGTAAATATCAAATAATCCTCCTGCAAAAATGTGGATAAAGGTTTGTTGGTTTAGTATTTTTATGTTTCCATACAAGATATTTTACTATTAAAAAAATGTAACTTTCTATTTTTATTTATGACTTTAAACCATCAGTCGATGTATTAATGTAGTCAGGCTGTTGACTATGTACTATAGACGACAAATTGCTTTAGCGCCCTTAACTTACTGTGGCCAAGACAATGAAATTGAAAGCTCATAAGATGTTTTATATTTTTCAGAGATTCAAGGACACACAAGCATTATTTCTATATCATTTACCTTTGTATCTCTATCAGTCGCCTTGAGATCAAACTCAGTAATAAGTTTTCTCACTCCTTCCTGTACTATCAGCCCATTATTTACTATTATTGGTATAGAATCATCTACAGGGTTCAACATAATCTGGAATGTCTTAACAATCTGAAAATAGATTTCAATTTCATTGCTCAATGATCTTATGCATATGGGAATGCAATGAGTATCCACTGTACAAATAAATAGAAAATGCAACATAAAGAAGGCTGAAATTTATTTTCAATCAAATTGCCTTGTAAAAAAATGGGTACATACAACTGAGTTATTATTAATTAATAAATTCCTACCTCATTGGTACCATCAGTTACAGAAAAAATAAATCTATCCATAAAATTCTCTTCAAGGCTAGTGTGGACATATTTAACACTGCCTGCTGCTAAATCAGACTGACTAAATCTTATAATAGGTATTCCTAGATACAAATATCAGTAAGTGATAGTAGGTGGCCAATTTATACATTATTACATAAATCATTTTTATTTCATTATTTTAGTCTCTTGCTGAATTGATTGCAAATAAATTCGTAATTCTAAACGCATGCCCATTTTCACTAATTAAAAGGATAGTAAAGGGGTTTTTAAATTGTATTTGTGTATCGGGGACACTGGTAGTATCAATTTGCACCATTCCAATTTTCAAAAGGACATCTGTGTTTTCTGCAATTCCATAAAAAATAAGTCTTTGATGAGGTCACTAATCTCAATATATGCTTTATCACAAAAGGTTCTTCTCAAATAGAGCCTTATTAAACACTTAGTTTTAGTGGAATTGCAGGAATCACATTTGAAATACACAGAAATATTTAGACAGCCTCTTTACAATTCCTTTAAGATTCAAAGATCTGATTAAGATTGAAATTATTTGATAGTTGACAATTGATCTTGTGATTGCATCTCTGTCCTGGGAGAAACAGTACCATTACCTGGATCAGATGTTAATTCTAGATGACCTAAATTTGGTCCATCAATGATCTCATAGATCAAACTACCAGTTTCAGAATCTACATCATTAGATGACAGGAAATCAGTTGTTATCTTCTGCCTTCTGCCTTCTTCTACTGTAAACTGTTTGTTAACTACTATTGTTGGTGGATAACGATCTTCTACAAAACACAAGTACTACATGCTTACTTTGACCATATACCTATAACCTGGCATCTCAATTGTTCACATTAGGACATGGTTGTATTGGATCGATACTTGTGATGCCCACCAATCCAAATTCATCCAGTACATGTATTTCATACTTTATATTTGTAAAATATATATCAAAAATGCATGTACAATCAATACTAAGATAGCTATGAAGACAGTGTTGACAGATATATATATAAAATCAATTTACTTGACTTAAACATACAATTATTCTTACCTAATATTGAAATAAAGAAATCTTGATCTATCAAATCATTACCATCAGGATCAGATAGTTTAAATTTAATTACATCTCTTCTGAGACCAGGTCGTGAACCTTCTCTATGTATAAACATGATATGCCCTGAAAAAATTTACAATTTATTTATATTTAGTTCAATTACATCAAAGTGACATGGTCCAGTCTGACATGCAGTCCATTCCCTGAAAACTATGCTTTCAATACCTGTTCAAACCAACCAGATTTGTCAAGTGCAAACTAATAACTTTATGCATACCAATTGACAATGAATCTGGATAGTCTTAAAATCTGAGATGTCATGTTCTAGAGCCTACAGAATGTAAAGATCTTACCCCTATCGATATCATTCTGTGTAAATTTCTGATGTTGACTTTTTGTTGATATTTTATATGACAGGTCTCCATCTTTAAATATTAATCTACCAATAGTAGAATCTCTAGATAGAGTATAAATAATACTAGAGTCTTCACTATCTAAATCTGTTGCTTTTAAAATACTGGATGTTATCACTGTCCTGGATCCTGTAATATATAAATTTTAGTAAATAACATCTTACAGATACAGCTGTTGCTTTTCAATCTAAATATAATTTCAGTATACATATTTATTAATTATCATTGTGAATATGTAGAAGTTTTATAAAACTTAGAATCAAATAACAGCCTTGAGTTGAGTTGTGATCCCAGCAATAGTTTTATTCCATATGAAACTGCTCAAATAAAATACATGATGCGCTGCCATATTTAAATCCTGATAAATGTATCAAACAGACATCGTAAAAAAAATCCTTTACAATTAGGATGTTTCTGTCTACATCATCCTTTATTATCTACCTGGAGTTATTCTCAAGCCTCTATTGATGGTCATCCTAGGTGTTTCATCATTGATTAAGCCTACTATAATATTGACTGACTTGGTATCATTAAATTCACCATCAGTAAGAGACAGTTGTATCATATCAGTAGTCACTTCTTCATCATTATGGTGGTATACAATCAACTCATTTAATATATCCTTCAAATATAAATCAAATAAATATATCAACACTAGGACAGAGGGGTTTATCAATTGCATCTGGTGTCTAATGGACTGTTGAACAGTTCAAAATCTATTGTTGATGCTGATCAGATGCCTCTACTTTAATCTTTTATCCACGTCATGTAACAGACATGTATTTTTTCATTCTGTTTGATGAACTTGATGTAATATCAGTCTATATATCACTTACCTGATAAGTAAACACTGATCCTGATGTCAATAATGTAGCTGTAAATGGTGTATCTCTGATGTATTCTTGTTTTCTTAAAGAACCATGAGAAGGTGGTATATCCAGTGTAAACACTAGATCCTCTGGTACAGTATCAATATCCAAGACAAACATAGAGGCATTGGTCAGGGTAACAAAACGACCTTCTTGTACAAACAGTTGTTCAGTGATAATTTCGGGAGGTTCATCGTTAATGAGCTGTAAGGGAAGCATTTTTTCGTGAAATGTGCCATCTTTCCATTAATCAACCAAACGAAGAATAAGACATTTGAATTGAATAAAAAATCAAAATGCAAGTGGATGACCCACTGTTGCCTAACTCAATTTATATTTGGTAACATGATCAATGACAATCTATCTGTTGTTAGATCATTATCCATACTTACCAATATTGTGAAGTTCAGCCTCTTTGGTGGAGATGTGTTTTCTCCATCAGTTACATGAAAGAGAATTCCATCCCAAACTGGTTCTTTGTTTAAATGATCTGATTGGTTATAAATCATTTTCCTATCTAATAAATCTTGAACAGGAAATGATGTCACAGATGTCCTGTCACCTTCAGAATCTAGAAATATAACTGGTTTGGTAATGTATTTATATTTTAATAACCTACTGATGTAATATTTTAAACATTTTGAGACGTAAAGTTCAGAAGAGGTACTACTTAGCATTGCAAGTACTTTTATCACAAACTAACCTGTGTTGATTATCTGTCCAAATCTAGGATGTGTATCAATAACTACCTGTAACTTTGATACAGGTGTATCAACATCAGTTACACTAATTACATTATTACCAATAATAACACTTTCACCTTCATCTACCTGAAATATCACAGGTTCATTTCATTTCAGTCTTTATCAACTATTTTTAAATGAACACAACTAGTCAAAATATCTTTTAACTTGCCTTCCACAATTAGTCAGAATATTTCATTCAAAAAAGCACACTTTTTCCCCTTTAAATTTGAAATATATCATCCCCTTAACAATAAGATAGGAAACATAATAACCAACTACTTGTTTCTATCAACTGAGAACTAATAATATGTTTAGTAGATTGGATTGGTTCAATTGGATGACCTGGCACAAAATTACTGAGGCTGTTGTTTTATTGCGTACCTACCTCTATATTAGGACCAACTGTAACCATTGGTGTCTGATCATTCAATGGCAGAATTAAAACAGATAATATCTGACTAGGTAATAAATTACGACTTAAATCAGTGACATTAAAATAGATCAACTCAGTTATTGCCTTGTTACCAATCTCAGAATCCGCCTTGTAGCTAGAAAAGAATTATAAAATGTGCAAACTGCGAATAGTGTTATCAAGCATCAAGCATACTTTTATTTGAAACTACAGTTAATAAAATAATTATACCATAACAGTATCAAATATTTCACAAATTAACAAAGCAAGCAATAAATTTTATCATTAATGACTAAATAGTTAATAACCTTACCTTAAATGACCTCTGTTGATGTCTTCTTGGAAGAAATAACTTCCAGATTGTAGGACTCGTTTCTCAACTCCGCCTACCATAAGTTTTCCATAGAATGGTTCACTACTGAGAATGATGGTAAGATCTGCATCAAGATCATCAGAATCACCAAAGGCAAGAAGTTGTCTATTTATAGTAACAGAATGACCTGAAATGTGGGCAATTCCATTAGTTAATAACCATAGTTATGACTTGAATAAATGCCAGGATCAATCTGGCTTGCCGGTATCTGCAAAGGAGACAAGAAAGGAAAATCCCCCAAGATATATAAAGAAATTTATCTTTTATCTTGTATCTTTTCCTGCTTACCAACATTCATAATTGTATTAGTATTGAACCTATAAATGATCTAGCACTGTATGAGTAGCCCTCTTTTCATATTTTGTTCATGCATAGATGAAATATTGATAGTAACTTAAACTTTAACATACCTTCAGTAACATTGACATGACAGGTTGCTGTAGGTAACATGAAGGGTGCTGACTTATCTACTCTTAATATATTGATCTTGACCTTAGTAGTGACCTGGTGAAGGCCATCACTAACAGCAACATGGAAGACATCCTTCAACAAGGCATCCTCTCCATGGTGTACATATTGGAATATACCAGATTTAACCTCTTTCAGGTGGAATCTTTCTCCTGATAATAAATTCAACATAAATTATATATAATATTAAAATCATTTTAAAATGATTGTGTCCAACAGAAATGAGCTCAGAAAAATAGCAGTTAACAACAGAATGCAACAGGATAGTCTCACCTCTACGTAACAGAACTTTTTGGTCATCAACAACTTTCTCAAGGTGACCTTCAGATGGTGTAACAGTCAAAATAAATTCCAAATCATCTTCATTTGTGTCAGCATCCGAAACATCAAATACTTGTAACACAGGAGTCGTTCCTCCTTGAGATACAGTCAGTTCTGGATTTGGAACCAGAAATCTTGGTGGGTTATTATTGACTGGAAGTATTCTGATAGAAAATCTTTGTTCTGGTAGACGACGATTTTTTGCTTCATCCGTAACTGAATAACAAGCACAAAAAATCATCATTACAGTCAATTGGGTATAGTTATTCACATTTGGAAATATATTGGACAGTTTTTGCTAGACATTTTATCCTTGACCTGGACTCCTATCAAGCTAGTTGTTCGGATTTGTCCTACTGATATATATATTGCTATCAGACTAGAAAAGTTGTGTCTGACAATCTCCTTGACAGGCAGTTTGCATTAAGTTTTGTATACTGATAATGATGTATAATATAATCTTACTATTCTTACCTATAAAGTTGAACATAACTTCACGTTCCTCAGTACCTATTTCAGTAACAGGAGGTCGATATACAATACGATTATTGTTAATATCATCCTGGGTGAAACGTAAAACTGGTTTGAATGGCACCTCAATATGTTCAACAGCTCCTTCATCATCTCCTAATAAGGTTGTAATAGAATACACAATATCTTTTGCTATGGTGCCGCTGTCTTCATATGTCAAATGAGCAGATGTGATTGGAACCAGCTGATTTTCCAACACCTGGAATTTAAAAAATTGTAATTGAGACATTTCAAATACATGTTTTGTTGTTAAAGAACCATGAGTAACTCTCAATATTCATTTAATCTTATGGCAAAACACATTTCAGTATCTTTCTTACCGTCATTCCCAATCTTACTCCTGGAGCAATTGTTGGCTCAGCAAATTCTTCATATCTATCATCCAGTACAGTAATCTTGAATGTTAAGTCTTTTACTTTATTTGGTGGATTAGACATGTCAGCAACCTAAATCAAAAAGTGATATAGGCCTTGCAGTTATATAGGCATAATGCATTTTACTGTATAGAGGAGCTTACCTAATAAAAAAATTACACAGCTGATGTTTGCACCCTTTTAAAAATCTAGTCACTTTTTTGTAGCATTTAATGGATCAATAATGATCAATAAAAGAGCTAAATGAAATTGAAATAACCCACCTCAAAGGTGAAGATGTCTGATTTTGTCTGTTTACCATTATGTTTGTACCAGATTCTACCTTCATTTACATCTCGTTGAAGGAATCTATACATCTTGGCAGCCATTGTTCCATCTCCTAAATTTCTCCAACCTCTGCCTGCTCCACTGACAGGAATAGGCACTACCATTAATACCTCACCTAAATTATCAGATTTATGTAGATTCCAGATAACAACGAACACAATATTAAGAGATGAAAAGTACAACAACAAAATTTCGATGGAGAACAATTGAATAGAAGATTATAATTTGAGTTTAGTTCTTACCGTTTAGAGGATTATTGGTAGAGGGAGTAAGTGTATAGATAATGTCATTAGACCCTGATGTCTCTATATCCATAGCTCGTGTTTTTAACATGTCAGAAGTTATCTCAACTGTTTCTCCTCGTACAACCAGGACACCTTTATTATTGATGATAACTGGTTTTTTACTATCCTAAATACAATAAAATATCAGTGACTTAGCTTTAGTAGGGTTGAATTCTGATTTATCAATCTAAGAGACAAATGTACCATTTTGGTGGGTTGATTTTAGTCTTGAATATTTGTAAATTGTCTTCAAAGGTAATAGAAATGTATGATAATCACATAATTGCTTCAAAAATATCCTAAGCTAGGAATTTCTGTTCTTATTTCCATAGATGTCTTTTCTATATGTCTCAAAAAAAAAAAAGACCATCTTTTTAACTTTCAAATGCAGATAATTCTGGAAACATGAGATTAAAGTATGATTGGTCAAAAAAATGGCACATCAGGTATCCATGTAACATCAAATCATAAACCTGATGTGTCATATGAAATTTATATGATCCTTGAATTAAAAATTGAGCAACCATTCCTGTACCTATTACCAAACATAATTACCTTTTCTCTCAACTTAATTTCACTAATAATATTCAATGGTTGTGTTCCCATCATAACTTGTAACAGCATCATATCCTGTCCTATACTCCTATTGGCAGAATTATCATAGGCCACACCTCCAATATATAAGTCTTCTAATGTAAAACTACTGATGGGACGGTTTGACTGTTGGTTGACGAGTTGTCCATGTAAAGGACCTAAAAAAAAAATTGCATATTGTAATGAAACTTGCATAACATATGAGATATCAATATGCAAAACTGCTGTTGTTATGTTTCAAAACACAAGGCATTACCAAAATCTACATTCCCAAACAGCAGCAAATTTCATGCCAGTCTAACTTACAAAATTATTATATTAATACGTATAAACAGGTCAATTTATTTTGCATTTTGGCTTAATCAAATTAAAGTACTAAGACTATTGACTTAAATTACTAGTGAGTCAGAGATGAAGACTTTGCTGAGCCAATGAGTACTTTAAAGATTATAAATCTTACCTTGAATGATGTCTATTTTGACAGTTCTAGGGTCAGAGTTGGTATCTATATTTATGGTTTTTGAATTGAGTACAGTGAGTCCAGTACTAGCTGCTAGTAGAGGTTTATTTACAGTTACACTGATTGGTTGACTAGATGTAACATATATTGGTACTCTCACTCTTTCACTATACAGTTGACCATCTGATGCATGAAGAATGATTTCATCTAAAATATAAAGAACATTTTCTTCAGATAAAAATCAAATGATTTCAGCCACTCACCTAAATGATATAACTCATAAAGTTTAATTCTTCACCCAACTTTAATTTGGTAATTCAGACTTATACCAGGCACTTTAATTTTTTGAAAATTAAACACATTGTTATGTGTTTAAGGTTTTGTAACCCTCACACAATAGACAAATTCTACATACCATTTAGATTATTACTAGATACTTGTTGCATGAACCTTATTTTCCCATGACGTAAATCATCAAAAATGAAATGGTCATTTGTTTTCATGATTTGATCACGACCTTCAACAACCTTGACAAGGTCACCACTGGTTAAAGGTTGTATTATATATATTTTCAAATCAGAAATTGGTGTATCAGGATCATGTAGATAAAACAAATCACTTGTTAATGATGAAACTCCATTTTCAGTAACTCTCAGGTGACTTAGAGATTGAAAATCTGGTGGATATTCATTGGCTGAAAAAGACAGAAACAAACGTTGAAAATGTAATTGCAATTGGTAACCAATGAGGGTACCGGTAATTCACAGGACGAGTCTGCTAAAACACACTTCAAAAGTCAAAATAAAAAGCTTTACCAATTTTTACAGTTTATTTGAAGCAATCAAATACAGAATGAAGAAAACAATAAGAAACTAGAACCGTTATAACGGTACCAACGCAGTGCGCATCCAACCTGATACATCGATAAAACGTTGCATTTTAAAGTCACAATGGGATTTCTTACCGGAAAGAAAATCATGTAAACGTTCAATAGTTAAAAAAAATCGTTTAAACCGTTTACTGGTAGTGAAAAGACGCATGAATTTGATACCATTCGGTACTAAAAGGTGTTAACATTCGGTAGTAAAAAGTCGAATTTTCAAATAGCTGTAAAGTTAAAAGTTCAATTCGCACAACAAAAAAACGAAAATATTTTTAGAAAGGTACAATAATTTGTGTTTCGGCCAAGAGGTCAACAAAGGTCAAAAAAAAGAGAATATAAGCCTTAAAAGTGTTGAAAATTGCTGTTTTGGGACGTTTGTAAAAGAGAAAATATATGTCGGACATCAAAGATAAAAGTATGAATGGACATCGTAGATCAATAACCTTTGACCTTCTAAAGACCAAGATCATGCATGTAAATGGTCAAAATATCAAAATTTTATAAATTATAAAACCTATTCCCTTTTTTAAAGTAAAAGGCCCAAACAAAATGTAACTCTATCAGATATTGTCCCAAATAGTGCCTTAATTTTTTGTAAAATTTCGATGGTGAAAAATGCAAACTTTGAGAGTTATAACAATTTGAATTATTTAAGGTAAAGTTACCCGGATTTGCCACGCTCACTGCAAAAATTTTGTGTTGTCTGTAATAATGTGTACAATGTCAAATAATGTTCAAAATTTCAAGTGTTTACAATCATTAGATCATGAGATATTCGTAGTTTTTTTAGGGCAACGGTGACTGTCGGTGGATTATAGAAACCGTTCAAATTACGCAAAGTTACTATACAAGTCAATACAAAATTATTAATTTTTAAAATGCGCAATTTTGATCAAAATATCAAGTGTGATATATCACCAAAAAGGAGATTTCATGCACTCAAAGAATATATAAGAATTTTTGTCGTATGTTAATTAGGTCACGTGACAGAGCTCTTCAAATTTAAAAATCGCGATTTTTAATTGGCTGTAGAACCGAAAGTTAACGATGCACAACAAAAGTGAAGATATTATCGGATATATCTCGTAATGGACAACAACTTTTGTTCAGGTCAAAAGGTCAACAAAGGTCAAATTAAAGTAATATGAGCCTTTGAAGTTTCGAAAATTGCTGTTTTTGGACGTCTGCAAAACTGGAAGTATATACCAGACATCAAAGATCAAAGTAAGAATGGTCATCCTAAGTCAATGACCTTTGACCATGCAAAGGTCAAGGTCATTTATGTTAAATATCAAAAATGAAAATTTTACAAAATTGTTAAACCTATTCCCTTTTTTAAAGTGAAGAACGCAAACAACTGTAATCTTATCACAAATTGTCCTAAGCTGTGATCTATTTTCATGCAAAATTTCTAGGGTGAAAATTGCAAACTATGCGAGTTGTAACAAATGCAAATATTTCAGGTAACGGTAAATGCACACCGGATGTGCCACGCCTACTTCAAAAATTTCAATTTGTCTGTGATGATGTGTACATTGTTAAATAATGTTCAAAATTTCAAGTGTTTAGAATCATTAGATCATGAGATATTCGTAGTTAAAAGTTTTTTTTAAGGCAACGGTGACTGTCTGTAGATTATAGACACCATGAATTTACGCACAAGTACTATAGAAGTCGGTACAAAATTTTCAATTTTTAAAACGCGCAATTTTGATCAAAATGTCAATTGTGATATATCACCAAAAGGAAATTTCATGCACTCAAAGAATATATAAGAATTTTTGTTGTATGTTAATTAGGTCACGTGACAGAGCTCTTCAAATTTAAAAATCGCGATTTTCCAATGGCTGTAGGACCGGAAGTTAACGATGCACAACAAAAGTGGAGATATAATCGGATAGATCTCGTAAGAGGCAACAACTTTTGTTCAGGTCACAAGGTCACCAAAGGTCAAAGTCACTAGATATGAGCCTTAATAGTTTTGACAATTACTGAAAACATAAAACCGGAAATAAAAAAAATACAAAACCAAAATTCAAAAATCGGCTTCCCATGCTTTGTTAGCAATCGATTGCAGTTTACATAAACATCAAATTTACGCACATCCAATTTTACCCTGAGGCCCCATTTTGAGTTTTATAAAAGTGAGTCATATCAAGATGGCGTCTTACAAAATACATCCAGGTCAAATTTTGTCATTCCAAAATCTTTACGGGGACAATTATAACTAATTGCAAAAAGAATTTTTCAAATATCTACGAAATTCCGGAAGTTGAAATTTGAAGTTTGGAGGCGAATGACGTCAAAACCGGAGGTGATATCTAAATTTTGAAAGCATATTTTTGTTCGCAATAAAAATGTTTATCTACATGTAAATTGTCAGATCGATCGCAATAAAATTGTGGAAGTTTAAAAAATGCTTTAAATAAAATCTCCAAAAGTCAGCGACAAAAGTCAAAATTTGAAATTTCTTAAATTGCTATCTTTTAGACATTAGTATAAAGTTATCAACAAAACAAAAATTATGTTCAAAATAAATTCAGAATAATAGCAGGTATTCGAAAGACGTAATGAACGGTTAAAGTCCTACGTCATTTCCGGTTGGGTGAAGATGCGTCATTTTACATTTAAACAATAGCAACACGCTAAGTATAAGAGATAATGATGTCAGATAATCTGTGGTATGTGCAGTTTTGGCTGGGGGGCGTGGCCAGAAGTAGACAAACAAAAAAATAAAAAAAATAGTCATTTCGAAAACAAAGCAAACACTGCAAATAACTCACCCATGCATTTTCTTGTTTTGGAAGTTTTGATGTAACTAGAGGGACATTGTGAAACACATACACCTTGATGTAAAACACTGGGATTATCGCACATCAAACAGTTTTCACTGGTTGAACATTTCAAACAACCAGCAGAACAAGCTGAAACAGTTAAAACAAATATAAAAACAGTATACAAGGACAAATAAAGTAAAGTATTCCCTTTAAAAATAGAATTCAGACCAATTCATAGTAATGACTAAACAAGTGCCAGTTCAAACAAGAATCCTGACGAATTGCAGAAATAGTAATTTTTGATTCTGTGTAAATTAAATTCATTCAAATTTTGAAAAGGTTTTCATTACAATACTTGATTTCAAATTTTCAAAGGAAAAGTGGCAAGTTACCTTGGCATTCTTTGTCATTTTTTGGATACATTCCTACTCCACAGGACTTGACACAGTGCCCTTGATAAACCAAATATGGTGTAAAACAGGAGATACATTTTCCAGGACCTTCACAAACCTCGCACATCGCATCACAATCTACAGAATAGAAGAGAAAAATTGATCTTATAATGTATCTTTATAGTGATATTGCATTGCTTACACATTACATCATACAATTTAAAACTCTGATCCTACTATACGCTACAAAGAAAATCAGGCCCATGTAATTGAATCCATATCACACATACGTTGTATACGGTCCAACCACTTTTTTCTACTCTACTCGACTCAAATCATTGAGTCACCATTTTGATAATCTCATTCAGTGAATTCAAAGCTGCAGTGCCAGCTTATAATAGCGCAAATGACAATGAATTGCCATCAAACAATATTTTGAAACCTGTTTAAACACCCATGGGGTATATTTTCCACAGGCAATACCGTTATTACCTTTTTTGACAACAAATCAAATCACGTTTTCAAATAGCAGAGTGTAAACATGTTTGTAAACATCACATTCCACGGGGAATCCCACAGCGAAGTATACACCATATGTCAAATTGACAGACCATTTAAATGCTGTCTTATTGCGCCATGGGTGTGGTACTCTATAGTTAGTACTCCAATCAAAACAGTAAACGAAATAGTATGTACTAAAAGTCGAACCGCACTTAAGTGTCTATAGGTTTTTAATATTGCACTCGGGGCTTGCCGTGTGTGTGCAGCTTACTCGTGGTATCACTACGCCAAGCCCCTCATGCAATATTGAAAACCTATAGACACTTAAGTGCGGTTTGACCATTCTATACCATATTTTCAGATAAGTTGCCGATACTATGGCCAGTTTGTTAAAGAACTAACCCAACAGAATCATACAACTTACTGTGACAAATATCAGAATCTGCATAAAATCCTGGAAGACAATTCTTATGACAAGAACTGCCAGACGGAATGGATGATGGATCTTTGCAACGAATACAGACTGATTCCAATCCTTCAAGATCTTCAACACATTCTGAACAATCTGGGCTACAAGCTGAAAAAAGAAAAATGCATGATAATGATAACTTTTTTTTTTAGACATGGGTTCAAACAAAATACACGTAGTCTAGACATGACCAAGGAAATACAAAAAATATCATTGACCTAATAGCCTACATCTCTGATTAAGATCTCTTTAAGTATCTATGCCAAAGAATGTATCACAAACTATCACAAAAGAAAAACATGTTTCCCATTGTCATCATTAGAATTATGATCCTTTTAAGAATAATTAATTTATATTACCTCTACAACGTTTTGATGACTTATGATAAAATTGTTCCTTTTGACATCTGGATTCACATATTCCATTATTTAGTCTTGAATCACTGTGACAACTCAGGCACTCTGATAGGTTTGATCCAAAACAATTTTCACAAGATGGATGACAAGCTGCAATATAAATCATTGGATTTTATTTATATTATACTCTAGAATTCTATACCGTTACATAGTAAAAATAAGTCTATGCCTATTCAAAATGAATATGTCCTTAATCAGGAAAGTAAAATTCTTAAACAAATCTTGTCCAATTTGTCACAGGTAGATAGTGGTCAGCAATGAAGTGACTTACCATAACATCTTCCATCTTGAGATGGGAAGAATCCCACTGGGCATTCAACCAGGCACTGTCCATCATGGTACAGAGTAGAGTCATAACATGAAGCACACATTGCACTGTCTGGTAAACAAGATTTACAGCTTGCTGGGCAATCTAGAAGATACAAAAATTAAAATTTTCAGTTTAGTTTCAAATTAGTTTTGGCTTTTTCATGTGATCTTGATGAAAGTTCACAATTGATAAACATGGCCACATAAACAAATTATTAGCTTACCACGACATTCTTTTTGTTGTAAAAAATATTTTGGACCACAAAAATCAACACACTTTCCATCCAATAAGACCTGATCTGCCACAGTACAAGATAAACACTGGTCTTCCTCAGGACCAATACATGAACTACACCCATCATCACATGCTGAAATTGATCAGATTCAATTTTGACTATAATACTCATAGAAATATTGATTCAAATAATTTCAAAGTAAAAAAAAACACACTAGATAAATGCCACATGATGGCAACCTTATTGGTAGAGGCAGGTCCTATTGTAAGAGAACATAGTGAGACACCTTATGTGAGAAGATTCTAATACCTAAACATTTTCTGTTGAGGAGATAAAAACCAAAGCCACATGAAGGGACACATTCACCATGTTGCCAATAGCGACCAGCATGGCATGATTCACAATGGTATCTGGTACCTTCATTACACGTTCTACAACTTTCATCACAATCTGAAACATAGAAACTTTAAGATAGAAAACCTGCACTAAAGATATCCCAATAACAAATATCTCTTGGCTGTCTGGTTGGTTATCTAAGTCAGAATGTTTGCATGCAAATTTGTCCACATAACATGCATGTAATTAAGGCCTAAACCATGATCATATTAATTTGAAATCTTTTTCATTTCTAATCATTTGCAACCACAGATGAAAACTCACCTAGGCATAGTCTACTTTGCCCTTGATAGTATCTCTCACTACATTGATCAACACACCTTCCATTTTGCACCAGTTTATTAACAGCACGACATTGTAAACAATAATGAGAATTGGTGGGTAGACAAGTCTCACATTCAGGACTACACTGAGCTGGAAGGCAGAAATGAAAAATACTTTCTCATCAAGATTGTAGATTGCATGCTTTAAGTCAACTCATTCATGTAAAATAGGAGAAGAAAGATTTCTAGTTCAGATAGCTAAATTATGAATTGTGTGTGGTTGAAGTTAGATTTTGATAATAATTCTTACATGTGAATGTGACATGAAAATGAATCTAAAAATATGCATTTTAAGTTTTCAAAACCCAAGTTGAAACTTTCTACTGTCTATTGAATTCATTTCAGCATATTCTCAGGATATCTTGGTTACCTTTTCTACACTCTCCACAACATTGTCCTGGGGGCACATCAGCAAAACTTCCTTCTGGACACACAGGACAAGACTGTTGGTAGCACACAATATCCTGACTCTCATTACATTGACAAATAGAGCAGGAATCTGGCTGCCAAGAATCACCAATCTGAAATTATTATCAGGTAAATAACAAAGACATATGCCATTTATACTGCATATTTTGAGGTCTCAAGAGCTGAATCAGTATATTATCAAATGAAAGAATGCTCGGCATAACTAGAGAAAATCTTTCAGCTTATCTTAAACTAAGAAGTATCAAAATGCAAACAGATCTTAGATTGCTACACCAGATGACCCAATATCACCAGGAATGTTGTACAATGCAACATTCAATTCAGTTACTGGAATACAGGATTAATTTATGTTCTCAGTACTCAACACTTAGTCTTTTGAATGCGTAATTGTACTAAATTGTATCTTCATTGGGTGTCACTAAAGAATAATGGAATGATAACTCTTCTAAAACACCAGATGTCACTTTGTGACTGGTTTTATCAAATCTTTCACATTGTTATTATAGTATCTTGGTCTATTTACTATCTACTACTGACCTGATATGTTCCACCATCAAAAGAACAAGTTTTAGGTTTGACACATCTAGGACAACATTCTCCCTCCAACTTTTCTTCTACTTCATCCTAAATAGATATCAAATTGTTATTGCAATTATATTACAAGTTTATGATTAAGGTTTTGATTTGAGCAGTTAATGCCCATTTAGGTACTTTTACTACAACAAACCTTTTATGTGATTTTTTGATACTCTTTACAACAAATCAACAAAAGACTGATACATGAAAGGTTTACCTTATCACAGGTGATGCGTTGACAACCAACAAGAGAGCACTCCGAACCATGGCGACAGGCACAATATTCACATTGACCAATCTTCCAAAAATCTCCCTGGTAATAATCTGTTCCATTCCATGAACATTGATCTAGATTTGTAATTATGTATAATAGATTAAGCAAAGTGCATAGAAGGTAAGATTGACCACGTAATAACATAAACAGACACACAAAGACAATGTCTGAGATAAAAATAAATTTTCTCCTTATAACCACATGTAAAAATCAGTTCAAAAATTTTAAAGCCACTATTATATTCTGAGAAAACAAGAGATATGAAAATAAAGTTTTATACCCGATTCAGGAACACATTCTTCACAACATTCCTCTTTACGTTGTATCTGGATCTCTCCCTTAAATATAATATTACATAATGACAAAAACACAGATAAATGGTAAGAGGTAGGTATGTATTGGATATACCATCACCATAAAATATTGCAATGTCAAAAACCACAAAAACGTTTCAATGTCATGAAATCATTCTTAGATCTACCTTATGATCCTATGCTCAACTTACATGATATAATTTTCAGAATTCAAATATGATATATGATTATCAATAATTCTTACCCGTTTACATTGAACAGGTTCACATTGATCTTGACTACATTTCACATTTCCATGGTAACAAACACAATTTTCACACACATCAGGTGACCATGTTTGACCATGCTGAAAATGACAAAAGTAAAATATGTATGTTTTGTATGATTATATAATGAATCTATAATTCAAATCTTAAAGCTGTATCTATATTTGAGGTGAAGAAAAATAAAATCAATTGGATTCTCCAGAAAACCTTTCTCAAAGTTGCAAAGATATCAACACCAGATCCATTAATATCAAGTTGTGTTTTTCAACAACGTGTCATCTCTTAGGCCTACTATGTGGTTTTCCAATCAAAAGTACCTGATAATATTTGTTGTTATGGTAACAAGACCTGAATTTACAGGAGGGACAGCATTCTTGAGGTAATCTGGTTGATTCTTCACCCTATAATCAAGAGTTTTAAACATTTATAAAAAAAATGACAGTCTGTTATAGTTGTATGACATGATTGGAAATAATCTTAATATTCCATTCTACTGGCAGTCCCTTTGAGAGAAACATGTATCCATACTTTAATAATATATAAACATTCTAAATCAAATGATAGGCTCTGTCTTACCTCTGAACAAATAATTGGAGGGCATTGTTGAGGTAGACATTTTGTTTCTCCAGCATTACAAAAACATTTAGTACATGGTAATGGCTGCCATTGGAAACCAGAATTATGTCTTTCCCCATAATCTGAACAGGACCCTAAAATAGTATTTGTATCCATGCAAAAACACAAAACAAAGAGAAGTAGCCACCCAAGTTGCAAGTAGCCATCAAAGCTCCAAGTCATAAGAAAAGTCTTCTCCTGACAATTTTATGTATTGATTCTGCCAAAATAACAACAATACCTTGCACACAGTAATCATGAATTTATATCAATATCTAGTTAACAGACAAAAACAGTTAACGGATAAACCCTGATTTGGTTAATACATTTACTATCAGGAGATCAGGCTTTCAAAATCAGATATTTTATAAATAGATACATTCTATTAAATCAAAAAAATATGTATACCATGTGACCTCCGTGACAACAGAGGTGAAAGGTCACCTGATAAAAGGGGAGATAAATGAGTAAAATGTCAGACTGAGACTAGACCTATGACCCTTAATCTATGAAACAATAGACGTTGGTATAATCTGAGGCATGAACTTGTCATGAAGAAATTAAAACACTGATAAAACCAGTGAGATGAATGGCCTAGTATTACAGGTGTAGAAATGACATACAAAGAAACTTGTTAGACAACATGTCAGCTTTCATTAATACATAAAACATGAAAAAAATAGATTGTCTGATATAGAAATTCTATACATTTCTTAAATACTTCACATCTATCTTTGGGTAAATATATTGTATACTCATTGCAATATAGAACAATATATGAATATTCTACGTACGTCCGACTGGTATACATTTGGGACAACATTTTCCTGGTAAATCTTGACTTATCTCCCCTGGTTGACACTGCTGTCTGTTGCAAGTTACGTTCTGACAATAAATACTGCCATTATCACAGTAACAACTTGTACAAGAGGATGGATTCCACAAGACGTTATGCTAAAAAAAATTGGCAATTATTGCAAAACCTAATAATAAAAATTATTATAAACTATTTGTATACAATATATGAAGTCACTAATCAAAAATACAATATATTTGGTTTGTTCATTGGATTTGTTTAGTTTTGAATGATTTAGAAATCTATGTTGTTCGTTTGTCTAAACAATAAAATATATATATAATCCTACTTAATATTCACCACTAAATTTTGATTGCATATCATCCACCTGATAATAATTTCTATTTGTAATGGTCTAGTCAGAGCTAAAAGGAAACTTACAGGTATGGATTGACCTTGAAAACTACAGGGTTTAAGATGGCCGACACATGAAGGACAACACTCATTGGCTTTTATCTCTAAATGTTCTCCCTGAAAAAAGTTACAATACAGTATTTTGATAAAAGTCCATGATACCTGATACAAATATTGTCATTTGAAGACTTTTTTCTGTCTAAAATATTTTCAAATATACATTTATCATGTATGCATACAAATTATACCAATTCTGTGAAGAGTTTATCAATTGGAAGCATCTCAGAGAGAGAATACAGAATAACTCTGTCATGAGTTCATTTTGTGTTTCTGGTGATCAATTCATTGACACAGAATAGTTGATCATATTTCTTTATTTTATAAACTTAGCTGGCAAAGACATATACATCTGATACATTCACTTTAAAATAAAGACATCCTTCAAGGTAAGAGAGTGTAACAATCCTAGACAAAGTTTTGTTATCTTGGGTGGTTCTATGTATTCAGATACCTCTATGAATAATTCTTCTATCTTAGACAGATTAATATATGACTGAGCACAATCATCCAGTCTTTGTTCAGGTCTAATAAGACATCATAAAAACTTTATTTCTAAATCTAGATCCCATCCCCAGTTTTCTTCTATATTTTCCTTTAATCTGTTTTCCATTTTGTACAATGGACGATATAGAAATCAATTAGAATAGATATCTGGCACTTTGAATACTAAATGGAATGAAAAACCTCTCACTTACTTTTCGATAATCACATTGAGGATCAGAACATCTGATTGGTTCACAAAATACCACAGGGTCATGACAAGTACATATTTTACATGATTCTGGGCTCCACACTGCATCAGGCTACAATTTAAAATAAAATCATATTACTGTTAAAGTAAATAGGAGTATTTAAGATTTTGAAAAATGCAAACCGGTCATGGACATTGTACTGGCTCTTTATATTCCTTTTTGGTTTCCTGTACAAAATTTTATTGTGTGATATTTTCTCTAATTTAAATACATTGTAGACGTTCCAAAATATTCATACTGGAGTTTTTCTAAATTTTGTAGCCTACAAAGTGATCACAGAGCTGTTCCCACAAGCATTCTGTACCATATTTCATTGATCAATATGGTTCTGCATATTTTCAAAACTACTAGTCTCTCCCAAATTGGTGTTCTTTTCCAGTCAGTTTTTTTTTACTTGGACATTTATGCAAATATTTCATTTTTCCGGTTCTGCAGCTCTATTCCCCTAGCCTAGACTGAGAACCTCTTTGCAGACTTTAAGTTTAGAACAACACAGCCCTAACTTAACTAGCAATGAGTTTGACCAGTAATTTATTGTATGACAAAAGTGATGATACCTATTTGTGAAATTAATCAAAATTATTTGTTCTGAACTACTGATAGACATGTAAGAATAGCAGACAATGCCTTTATCTGAATTGATCCAGTCACATATAAGCAACATTCATAATGTCTTAAATTAATCCTGAGTAATATTAACCATCATAACCAGAGAAGAGTTTGTCAAGACTCTTCTTTCTATCTGAAATTGAGATCTTGGAGATCTTTCAATTTACTAGAATAGACTGATCAGTTCACATCCTTGATAATTCTAATAGACAGATGATGATACATGTAAATGAAATAATAAAAATATAAGATTGAGTTCGACCCCACTGTGATATTAGTCAATAATATAATTCAAGTCAAGTATGTGTAACATGTGTTCAAAACTTTCAAAATAGGAATGACTACATATAAAAATAATCCCTTCAGATTAGTTCTGAATTTGTGTTAACCAATTTAAATTAAACAAGCTCACAAACTTGACCATTTATAATTCATTACCACTCCCACTTAAATTGAACACTTGAGATAGACTTTGATTTATATTATTTTCTGGTTTGAAGCAATGATTCACTTCACTTGATTTCTTTTCAGGAATTTACCTATCAAAGGAGTGTGAAATATAATTTTCATTAGAGTAAAAGTGTGAACTGCCCCCTGGACTGACTGAATAATGAAATGTTTAATATCAGATTAATATCATATTTGGACTTGAATACTGTCTTGGGTAGATGGATTATTTGATAGAAAGAAAGATGAATGAATAAATAAACAAGTGAATGAATCATATTTGCCACAAAGAACTAGAATTCAGACAACTTTGGTTTAGTGAGTAAGGCACAGTTCATCAGCCTTGATGTCCTTGAATTGATTTTTACATCTTTTGTAAACCTTACTCTTATGTCTAGGAATTGACTTTGTTAAAATATTTATTTATCTGAACTATATTCTCAACTGTAAAGCATACTTTTGTTTTGAAGTTTTCCATTGGAATGTTTACTTTCAGTGAGAAATGTAAGATCTACCTACAAGAACTTATAGAATCTGGCTAGAATCGGTTTCAGTCTTAAACTTAACAAATATTCATCACGTAACTCAAGTCTAAACAATGAATCAGATCATTAGTTTAAAACAATTCAATTCACAATTTGTAATTGGAACCAAAGTGTTCTGGTTATTGTTTCAGACAAAAATAGCAGGAGTTCAATGATTACATGTTACTGTCTGGAGGTTCCTCTCTAAGACAACTAAACATTCAACAATTGAAATAAAGAAAGAAAATTTGTCATATTTCAGGCAGACATCCAAATTTGTAATAAGATTGTTTTTTTTCCTTCATTGTCAATTCTAACTGACTGATATTTCTTTCTCAACAAAATAGAGTAGTCAGAGCAAAGATTTATCCAAACTGTAACTGCTATAATAATTTTCAACCAGATTTTCCCCTGTCAGTGATGTAGGTAAGAGGGGCTGACATGAAAAAAGCATCTAGTCGTACGGATGGGACAATAAACAGAGGTCCTGTGTGTCACAGGCTGTGAAACTGATAAAAGAGCAGGCTAATGCACCCTGCATGGTGTTGTCCGTCTTCATTAGCACCCGATTCATTTTATTTCACTGCTATATAATTTAAATCATGAATGAGTTTTAGACACAAACATATGTTAAATTTGAATTTGATTCTTTTGGCTGAATGGTTTAAAGAAGATTAAGATGCAGTTTTTTCACCATTTCATTTTCAGCAATGTATATCACTTTTCATAATTTGTTCTAATGTCTGGCTTGTCTACAAAAAATTGTGCAAATTAGAAAAGCAATTTCAACATTCTTGGTCAAAATGATTAACTCTGTGCCAATGCTCTTCCTCGATCTTCAATGGAAAGTACACAAACTTGATCTTTATTTTTTCTGCACATGTCAAAATGCCATTCCCTATCCATCAGTTGGTCTATATACATTTCTTGTTATATATGTTTTTGGTCCTGAGCATGCATCAAGAACATGAGATGAGATCTTGTCAATTAAAGTTTAAAATTCTTTTCTCTTTCATTGTATTCAAACTTTTCTCATAAAAATGTCAGAACAGGGTCACATGTGGTTAGTTGTAACATGTGCTAATTGGAGAAAATAAGAGACAAACCACCCTCCACCCACTTCTAGGGTAAAAAATATTATTGGAGGATCAAGTTTATCTATCAACAAACAATCTTGGTTATCAACTCAGTCAATTTTCTCCTCATTATACAGTAAGATATACTTTAACTTAGACACAATATATATATCTATTACAACAGTTTCTGGAAATATGCTATAGACATATTCTATATAAACTTTTTGGGTAGAAACAATCTGGTGTACAGTTAAGCCCCCATTGAAAATTAAAATGTTTTTCAATTATCCCAAAAATCTCTACAATGTAGATAAAAGGCTGCATCTTTTTTGTCGTGTCATATGTTTGATTGAAATCCTTTTGCAGACAAGACATATCTGTGACACTGACTGAAGGCATTGATTCTTAATAATGTTGCCTATGTTTAGAATAACCATATTAAAAGACTGAAGAACAGAATATACTAAATGAAGCTCTTTTCTTTTTCAGTATTCATGTTTTAAAACATGCTATGTGAAGGGGGAACATCTGGAAAATGCAGGATGCACCAAAATGCTCTTTAGTTATATACTGAATTGAGATTGCA